GGTATGCGCCTGCGCCGTGAGGTGACGGCCATGAGGTGACTGCCATGAAGGGCTCGGCCCGGCGAAGTGGAACTGGTGTGACTGAAACCGGGCGGGAGAGAGCTCTGCGGGGCTCGCCTCTGCGCAGCACCGCCCGAGCCAGCACAAACGCAGTTTTTTCCACTTAACAGGCAGAGGCACCTTCTTTAAAAGAACTCTCCACTAGCTCTGAAAACTGCTGACTACAACTTCAGTCTTCTGTCTCCGTAACTACTGGTTTTCGGTACTGAAAGAGCCGAACACAGTAAATAACTGTATGACCAAACACCTCTCTAAGATTTAAAAGGACCACAAGCCTCTGTGAAATCATCACATGAAACCACCACAGTCTGGAGGAATAAATCGGGATTAAGATGTCAAAATCAGTCTTCTAAACTAAAGACTGTAAAGTGATACTGACGGGTGTCGGGATATTGATTCCTTGAGAGAAGGAAAGCGGTGGTCAGGAGCGGATCAGGAGCTTGCAGGCCCACAGCAGGTTTTCTTTCAAAGCAATGCCACTGGCCTAGCTGCTGTCTCTTGTACCAACATTTTCATTCATAAAGACATTCTTGCCAGATACAAACACCAGGTAGATTCAGGAGGACAGCTAAGATTTCTTCAAGACACTGAGAGAACCTCAGGATTCAAGGAACTTTTGTAGTAACAAGGTATGTGCCAATCTAGTTCATTTGCTTTGTTTTCTGAACAGGGAAGAGGGAGTGTGGCGTTATTTCTGTGGCACAAGTAAGAAGCACTTTCAAGAATTACACTATAAACCAGTCCTATCCAACTGATATCATTCCTATTAGAGCAACACATAGCCTTTCCAGGTTAATAGTGTGATCTGAATTAAGTGTATCAGTTCTCATTTTATTGACACAGGAATGCAAAAACTGATTAAAGATGAGAGCAACAGAAATACACATTAACTCTCTAAATACTATGGTTAAAAGTTTTAACTAACAGCTTTGATTTAGAGACACTTTCACAGATATGACTAATGGCATTTACCGTATGGTTACAGTGTTACAAAGGGAAAGTTTACACAGCTTAGAAAAAAAAATAATCAAATAGTCATGACTAGAGTTAGCCAGAGCAAGGATTTTTGTTGCAATTGTCTTTCTGCTTTGTTCTCCTCTTTGCATTAGTATTTATGCTTTTAGAATTTGACAGGAAGCTTCATCTTCTTTTCAGTCCATCTAAAATAACAGAATTATTAGACATCAGACTTCACATTCTAAAAATAAACTGAGTTGGCTTAACTTCTGCCACCACAAATGGCATCAATATGAATTATCAAAATGACCCTTTGAAATACATTTGGCTAAAGAACATCCATCAGATTTCAAGTGTTCACATCCACTTAATACACTAAAAGTGTGCTTGAAAGAGTTCACATTCAAAAGCTGCTTAAGGGGGAAAAAAAACCCAGACAGCAGAATTTCCTTAAAAACTGTAGTATGAGATTTGTTCCCCCATATACTTGCTGCTCAAGGAGACAGTAGATGTGTTATGAGAACACAAATGGTTTAATTACATTTAAAGTCCTTAAAATCTTAAAAATAGGTGATATTATTAAAAAAGAAAAAGATATGATTTTTCCCTCACAGCATTTAGTTAACAGTTTTGTAGGTCTTTTCCACATGCAACAATTATTTCGTACCAATTTGTTTTCCATTGGGAGATTTTTCAGGTATAGTTACAGGCAAAATGTACCCAGTGAAAGGAAGCAGAAGCTTCTAGCTCAGGTGATGGGCACATTCTCCTGTCCATTTTATGCACTTTGGGTGGTATTTTGTCCTTTAAATTTTGATTGAATATCTCTGTAAAGCACTTTTTATTATTCATCTACCTGACAACATCCAAAGTTTCATATGGCAAGATAAGTGCAAGTTGAACCTGCCTGCTAACAGGACTTTATCAATCACATGTTTTACAGTGAGTTTATCAATCATCATGTTTCTTAACATTTCTGCACTTGGCCATCTCCATCTGCAAGGCAGAGCTCATACTATTTTCTTGCATCATAAAAGCAAATCCAAAATAGCAGAATTTGTATTGCTGATTTAGGAAGAATGTATATGTAAAAAGACATGGTAAAACTATACATTTTGAGTATTCTGGGACATAACACTGAAGTTTTTAAAGATAAAAAGAATTTTGTTGTTGGAGAGGGGGGATTATGATTTACAGCAATATTTCTGCCAAAATATGAATGTTAATTTGAAGATAAAACATCTAACATAGTTACATGTGTTTTCTTACCTTGGGGAGTCAATTCCACTGTCTCCTGTTATGCTGTGGTTTTCTGTCCGTTCTGAGTGTGTCTGTCCTGATACCACAGTACATGCATTCTTAAACAACAGATCTTTTTTTCCCAGAGGGTTTTTGATTTCTTTGATCTGTGAGCCCAAAGCACAACATGCCACCACTTCACCCATCTCATAGGTGAAGTTCTGCAAAGTGTCAGCATCTGAGTCAGCCTCATCAGTGTGTCCGGAATCTGCTACAGCTGAAGCCTTTGCACATGCATCAAAGCCAGTTTCTTCTTCCTTTCTGTGACCTATCGGAAGAATCTGACTGCACAAACAACTTTCTTCCATAAAATCTGGTTTTGGATACTCTTTTGAGCCATCTGTTGATTTTGCAGAAGTAGCATTTTCCTCATATCCATGGTCTCCAGAGTGACGTTTAGTTACAGTTTTGTCGTACTGGATGGGATAAGTATTAACCTTACAGTTTTTTAGGGACATAGCTGTCCCCAGCTTTTGTGCAACTTTGATCCAGTCTCTTATATCTGAAAAAGCATGGCCAGGAGGCAGGTGACATGGTTCCTTGCCTTCAGAATTGTCATCCAGATGTAATGTGTTGCAGGTGTCACTGTCATGTGCTTTTTCATACAAAAGTTGGCAGTTATCAATAAATGCATCACTTTCCAGCGTCATTGATACAGGATGGCTTGCACAATCGTATTTAAACTTAAGTTCACTCTTTTTACCAGTCTTTTGTCTGTATTTCACACCTTTTTTTTTTACCAGGTTAATGTTGGCAGTATAATTTGAGAGATGGACATTTTGAAATTCATTTGCCGTTTGATCTAATAACCCACATACAGTGTAAGCTTTGCATCTGCAGTGCTCATCTTTCAGGTGTAGTGAAAATTTTGCATTGTCTTTGCACTCACTGTTTTCTTCAGTGTAGGAGTAAAGGGATGTTTTATTATCCCCAGGATTTTTTACTGTTCTTCTGAAGATGTTTTTTTCCAAAATATTACTCTCCAGGAAGTATTTATTTGTGTTATCTCTTTGCAGAGCACTGCCTTGTGGATGACTAAAATTTTCACTTAAACTGTCTTTCTTTAGTTGGAGGGAAGACTTATTAGCATGTGATGTGCTTTGCTTAGCTTTGTCAGCCTGTGTCTTTGTAGCCAGCTGTTCAGTTTCATAGTCAAAGGGTTTTGAGGAATCCAAAGATTGTGGCCTTTGTAGAGCCCTTTCTTGTTTTCGAGTTCTGGACTTCAGATGACTGTTCATAGTGCCTTTGTGCCCTTTTGCCTGATAGTTGCCTCTCCATGACAGACCCTGAAAAGGGTTTTTAATTTGTTTTTTATATATGACATGGGATGCCACTGCTACATCAGATGGCTGATGGTTTCCAATAGGCAGCAAAAGGTTGTCTTCCAGTTTCTGATTTTGGGATGTTAGCACCTGTATGTGAGATGTCCTGTTTCTTCTGCTAATTTGCTTCTCTTTCTTTGATTTTGTTTTCCTTGTGTATTTTTCTGTTTTATTTTGTGTGTTTTGAATACAATCCTTTGAAAGATGGTTTAGCCTGAATATTGACACTTCAGCTGAGGTACCCTTACTGATACAATTTTTCTGCTCCTCAAACTTCTGCATTAATATTGTGTGTTTAATCAAATTATCAACTGTAAGAGTAGGGTTAATACGCTTGATGATTTCATGTTCAACATCACGTGGAATATTATCTAGATCATCTTCATCCCTGACTGGCCACTCCTTGGGAGGAAACTGGGCTGAAAAAGTGGAGTACTCCTCTATATGTTTTTCTTTTTTAGAACCACTTCTCCAGAAAAAGCTAAGGCCAAACTTTTTGCTTTTCATTTTCTGTTTCACAGATGTCAGTGATTTGATGGTGTCCCAGAAATGGTTTTCAGCAGATGTGGAGATCCCTTGAGTTTGGATTGAAGGCTTCAATTCACTGCAGCTTTTCTTATATCCTCCATTCCATTCATAGTTCATTAGCTGAACATGTCTTTCTTCACAGAGCATATTCTGTCCAGGGAAACAATGGCAGGATCTGTAACAGGATACCACAGGAGTGTTTTCTTTCACTAGGTCTGCACAGAGCCCAGTGTTTACCAAGTAAGCGATGGAAGGCGATGAACAGCAACAACTGTCCTCCAGTGGGACTCTTCTATTGTCTTCCTTGGCATCATTTGTGATAAAGTATGTGTTGGGAGTCACAATGAAGTATCCTTCTCCCGTATGATAGATTTTTCTTTCTTTGATTAGATTGCCAAGGATATTATATAAGATACCGTGGGAGGGGACTGCAATGCCTGCAACAAAGATACAGATAATTCAAGTCATAAGTAAGTTTTCAAATAAAATGGGAGCTGGCCAAAAAATAACTTACTTTACTTACAACAAATCTGAAAGGAACTAAACATGAAATACCTAATCTATTTAGTTCACAGGATTCCAAAAGAAGCTTGAAACTGACCTGGCAATTGAAGTTTGAGTAGGGCATACTTAATTTCAACATGAAGGTGCCCAGAATCACCAAACAAAAGGCAGGATTTTTTTTATTTTTTTTTTTTAATACATTATTACTTTGCTGAGCTTCCAGAGCTAGCAATTATTGTTGTACCCTGCAGAACAGGGACAGACCCACTCTGCAGCAGTGTCTATACATGGAGACCAGCAACGGCTGCCCCAAATCTCGGAGCCAGTACAGACTGCAGCTTCTCGGCCAGCCAGATGAGGGCAGCACAGAAACATCATCCAGCCGAGGGCTGTAGTAGGTGCAGTCCTGCCGGTGTCCTCCCAAAGACTGATCTGTAAAGCCCTTTTTAACTCTGCCGCGGTCGTTCCTCACCGATAAGGCAAAGTCACCTGAGGAGGAAGGTAGAGGCCAGCTGCATTTCTGGTTGTCACTGCAGCACTGCTGTGATGGAGCTTAGGATGTTCTCCTTTGAATGAGCAAGAATGCTCACTTTGCGTCTGTGAAAACATAGCAAGAAATATGCTCTCTCCCTACAAACCTCGAGTGTGCTGCTTCTGGCTGATCTAAAAATGCTAACTTGTGCTTGTCTCAGTGCATATATGGACTACATCACGTACCTGGTAGGGTTCTGAGGCACTTTATGGGGTTGCATTAAAATTTTTCCCACTACTGAAAATGCGGACCAGATCAACCTGTACGTAATGTCTGCAAAGCTATAAGATTAAGAAGATTCAAAAGAGGAAGCTCAGTATCAAACAAAGCAACCTCCTGCAGAGGGCCATAATGAGCCTTTACAAAGTCTCATATGCATGCGCGCACACACACACACAATTCTACATTGCAGATCTAAGGGAAATTGAACATTTTTCAGATTGAAAACACAGCATTTAAGGAAAGGTGCTGCTACCCCATCATAAAATAATTACACTTAATGTGAGTAATTTGATTTCAGGAAGGGACTAGAATTTGAAACAAGAACCTGAATTTGAGGCTGGTTGGGGTTTTTTTGGTAGCAAATACCAGATGTAGACTCCTACCCAGTCCCTTTGCTGCTAAAGCAAGCTATGTTCCCATCTCTTAAAGGGGGACTTAAAGTCTTTGTGATCTGACACACAGTCTGTTTTGTGCTGCTCCATATCCAGCACATAATACCTCATCTATGCTTTTCCACCCTCTAGAAAGGGCATACTCTCAACATGCTACTGCACTCAGTTTCCTCTTATTCTCAAAGATGGTTCATTAAGATCTGTAAAAAGGATTACATTCCAGACAATGTTAGTGATGCTCATGCATGTATTCTACCAGTTGCCTGTTAATTTACATTCTTTCATATTGTCAGCTTTGCTTGTAAACATTCAGTGATCACTTGCCCAATATCATCATTCAGTATATTCAATCTTGATGATACAGTCACTTTTAAAAGGAGGGAGAAATGAACACATCACCTGGATAATTTTTCACTAGCTGGTTCATTAAAGTTTCCTGCGTGACCGTCACAAGATCCGCATTCATGTCTGATATGGTACGGCATATTCCTTCTGCCAGAGAAATGGAGTGTGACTGCGAGAGAGGATTCATGAGAACAGGGGTCACATCACCTGAAGAAGGAGGGCAAAAAAATACATTGTTTGGATGGAATGGTGTTTCATTTTTTTCTATTAACCATTACAGATTTTCTCTGAAAATTTCTTGTATTACCTCAGAACAAGCACCTTATCCTCAGCTAATTTTCTCTGGGAAATTACTCAGAAATAGTTACAAGAGAAGGGAAATGGTACTAGCATTTTCTGAGTGCCTTTGCAATGAACGAAACAGAAGGATACCTTAAGCATGTTAGTTTGTTTGGTAAATTCTAGCTTAAAAGCATCATTTAGCTTAATATACAGGGAGCTGAGCAAGATGTGTCTGATGACTGCTGACTTTTTAGCTGATGGTTTACATATAAAAACATACAGAATCTGTATTTTCCAAGTAGCTAATGAAAAACGTAAATATCTAGTAATCTAAGTACAAAATCTTGTCACCAAATCAGGATGCAGAGGGTGAGGGGGGAAGAACAGCAGCTTTGTCCCTTTCTTGAATAGAAATGGTAAAAATTCCAAATTTTGGACTGCACTCTAGAACTAGAGATTATCTACTAGACAGGACAGAGGGCAAAAACTCTTGTTAAAACTCTATGCATTTTTTAGGCTACATCACCATCTCTTCTGGTGAGGGATAGTAATATCATCCCTGTTCTGCATGAGGAAAGCAGAAGCTCGGATGGGCTGAGAGGGTGGCCCAGTTCCCCAGTAACTGCATGCCAGCCCAGAGGGCTGAAAAGGGTCTTAGTCTTTCGCCTCAACTCTCTCATCCATAAATCACAAAGATAAACACTGCCTTTCTCCCCTTTGCAAGATGGCAAAGCCAGTAAGAGCAAGCCCAGCAAGAACCTCTGATGTGATTCCAGCAACTGATGTAGGAAAACCTGAGATAATTATTTTCCCTGAAAGCCGATGACAAAACACAAAGCAGGGACTCACCTGGAGCCTGCACGTACAGTGAGACATTGACCGCATATAACTTCTTGGACTGAAAAAAAGAACCCAAAAGCTTTCTTCTGTTTTTTTAACGGACTGATGTTTTGTTCCTGCTCCCAGGTGGTGTTCTGTGCTTCCCTGTTCTGCGCTGCACAGAAAGCCCTCAGCTGCCAGTGGAGGCAGAAGACAGCAGGGACTCCTGGTTACTTCACAAGGCAAAAACTAGTGTTAAATGCTAACGGTAATTTTCCTGCAAGTACGAAGTGACATTTTAGATTAAGTGATAGTCACATTTAACTAAACTGCTATTGGATGGTCTGGTGGATGATTCTGTAACCTGATATTTATCCTTGTGGCAGAAAACAACACCACAAACATTTATCTGAGTAAATGAACTAAGCAACAGCACTTTGAAGAGCTTAAATTGCTCTTGACCTTTGTTTTACAACTGCTGCTGTGTTCAACAAAAAGCACTCAGAAAAAGTTGAGGCATACAGTTTCCTCAGTGATGTTGCTAGGATACTCCTAGCAGGTGCAGAAACCATTGCAAGCTTTCTTTTTGTGTGGGAAAAGATCATCAACATTCTGTAGTAACTCCAGTTAATAGTTTGCTGTCTAAAGTTTCTCCTGTAGACACACCACGCTGTTGCCAGTTTTACTGTTTGTTCCTGCAGAGCACCAAACTGCTAAGGAAACAACACCAAGTGTAAACAAAATGCATTTATTATTATTATCATCATCATCTTGCTATCACTGTCTGCATCTGTCTCGCAGCCTCAAATCCCATGTCTCCATCCACGAAGGCCCTTTCAGAATAATATTTAAAACAAAGCATTAAGCAAAAGCCAGCTTGGTAATGGAAAATAACTCACCTCACTAAAATGACGTTCAAATCAAGTCTATTTAAAATTACTGTTGCAGAGCGATGGTGCCAGCATACACACATGCTAACAACATGAATATTAGATATCATCCCTTCCTGACTATAACATAAAATCTAAAATAGTGAAAGCAAGAATTAGATCATTGGCAGCATTGACAAGCCATGTGGGAAAAGGCCCAGGCAGCATCCTACAAGTATCTCTCAATTTCTTATTAGAAACTTTGTTGATATCCTTTCCATAGCTAAATAACTGTTGCAATCACGCTTCAGATATTCCCCCAGGTTTGACTAAACACACAAAAGCTGAATCCCTTAGATTTGCACAGGTAACAGTCTTAAGGATTTGTGCAAGCCATGACTCAAGAGGCCTGATGCAAAATTACCAAAATGCCGTGTTTGCTAAAATTCTTCAGTATCTGTCCCTTTACAGCACAAAAAAGACTGCGAAATTCCCTGCCCCCTGCCCTATTCAATATAAATCATCTTATGAGAATCATCTTCCTAGTTTCTTCATAGCTTTTATGAAGGCGTTGCTTATGCCTATGGGTAAGGTACCAGTCAGCAGTCAAGGAACTCAGCCTGATCCTCTTGATCGTTTAAATACAGCACAGTTCCCATTTCATGCTCTGCAGGTCTTGCAGAATCATGCTTACCAACGCGATCTAGGCAGCTTGCCAATACTAGTGTATTATTATCCTTCAGTTTGGTTTACCTATTCAAACTCTGCTCATTACCTGGGCACCTGAAATCCAAGAATACCCTTTTAGAGCATGTATCAGTCACGGTGTGGGGAAGTCACCTGTAATATGAGCATCAGATAACAAAACTCAGCACACAGAAAAGCCTCTGGGTATTACTGGCTAGCACAGTGATTTTTTGTTCTCTCTGTAATGTGAGCTTTGCCATTTTTTCACTGAGTTATTTAACAATTGCAGAATTTTTGCATCTTCTGGCTCTAAGAAAATTTACATAGGAGACAAGTTTTATCTGGGTAAAAACCAGGCTAGCCCGGGGGAAGTAAACAGAGAGGCATTTTGTTACATTAGTTCTCAATTTACTTCTTAAAATATTGAGTAAAAAATTTATATAACAATAAAGGGTTAATAATAAATTCATCCCAAGGAAAAAAAATAATCAAGAATAAACTCCCTTATATGATTCCACTTACATCTGCTGAGACAGAGAAGACACAGCATGTGGAAACAGAAGATTGACTTTTCTGGTTTGTAGCTGGAAAGATCTATCTTGGAATTGCCTTGTATGCTTTATTAAGTTGAACATAAAAAAGATCCCTAAAAAAAAGATCCTGTGCCTTTTGCATGAGAGCTCTGGAATGTTTGATGAACTTCACTTTTTGCAGAAATGCACCAGGAAAACCATAAGCAAGCGTACTTCTGCTAGAACTGCAAGACTTAGGTTTTTGTATAGGCTAGAGCACATCGTGGTCATATTTTTTAGGAAAAATTGCATTTTATAATTAAAGACAAATAATTTTCAGGAATAAGAATAGAAGTATTCTTAATAAGAATGTTATAGAAAGTTGGGAACTGTAGCAAACCTTTTTCAAACATTAATGAAGATTTTACAAGATGTTTCCTTATTAAGTAATACAAATTCTATATACATCATAATGACAAAATTGAAAATTATCTTTAAGTTTATAAGAGGAAAACTCTATTTTGGCATAAATATTGTGTACTAGATCCTGTTTTCAGAAATATTTACTGACGCAAAGAGTGCAGTTAAATCTGTCAAATCTTGTGACATGCTTAATCTGTTACTGAAACAAACAGAAGCTCTCAGGACCAGCAGACATGTTTCTGTTGTTTGATTATTTTGTATAACTCTCACAGAAGAAAACAAAAAACAATTAAGTATCTCTTAGGGTCACCTGTTGACATTAAATAAGTAGCTACAAACACATCAAAATGTCAGGTATCTATACCTGCTGATTCCTGCAAGAGCAGACACTCCCAGATCAGGTATTAGGCAAACAATATCCTCCATTTGGACTCAACTGCTGTTTTTTACGAACAGGATAATGCCATACAACTTGTAAAAAACCAGACAGAAAAATACACACAAAACCAAAACAATACCCAAAAGTCTAGTCCCAACTGCAAGTGCTATGAACTTTTAAAAATATGACCTATTAATGGTTTCTGAGGTTCCCAGCCAAGAGCCATTAAATCCTTACTCTAATCTCAGGGCTAACAGCAAGCCACAACCATCCTCTCTCCCACCAATAATTTAAAAAAACACAAAAAACAAGCTAAACAAAACAAAAACCAAATGAACAAAGAAATTTACCCAAACCACAATCAGGTATGGTGAAAACAAAGCAGGATTCAAGAAGACAAGAGCTCTCTCCTGCAATCTTGGTTCAAGCCCTCAGACAGCAACAAGTTACACAGCAAACACCAACATGTTGTGTGAGGTACAATTTTCCTTAAGCCAAGCTCAGTGGGAAAGTTTTTGCCATTGAAATGTGTAGCTCTAATCTTAGAGACATCAACCCCTTCAATGCTTCCTGAGGCCACTGACATGTCCACTTTAATACTCCAAGAACATCTTGGGAGCAGGTTCCAAGCTCCAAAGGTACTGTGTTCATATAGATAGCTTCAAATAAATTGTTTAAAAGAAAACAGCACTTCTGCTTGCTTGAAGACTACCAGGCAAGTTGTCCAGTGGAGATCTGTGTTTCACCTGCAACAACTGGTAAAACAGCCAACAAACAAACCCATATATACACATCTGCCTCTGGGGCATTCATGCTGTTCACTGCATAACTGGCAGAGAAATTGAACTCTTTGCAACAGCACTCAAGATAATTATTTTTCATATACTTTAGCATGCTGATAGCTTTTAAGGCAATTCAGGTATGGCATTGAACATAACCAGCACAGCTGATAGCAAGGAAGATCATCTTTAACCATTTCAGCATTGAGTGTGAGGCTTGATCATAAAAACCAGATTTATTCAAAAGTTTTATTGTAGGGAAGTAGTAAATAACACAAAATGAAACAGTCCTGGGCAAGCTGCAAAACCATCAGGCCCATGGAGCCAAAGAAAATAACAGGAATAAACAAGTGACTGGCAACATCTGGCTCCTTTAGCTATCTGCAGGTGCTACCATCCACTGCTATGGGAATTTGACACAAGCACACCTTTTCCACTTAGCCTGGTCCAAAAAAGACCCTTTGCAACCCTGGCACTTCTCCACTGAAACAGCTCTGCCTTTTCCTTGCTCCTAGAACTGCCCTCTCTTCTGCAATAAATCTCAGACCATCCAGATAGCTCTTTAATTTCAAAACCTTTGTTTTAAGCAGAAAGCACTACTGGGTGTTGGTTAGGTACTTAACTATACAGTGAAAGACATACTATAAGAACATCATACAGTTGCTCAACTAAAGGTGAGCAACTCCAGCTGTTGAAATATTCCAAGTGCTGACCCTTTGCCTAGAAATGTGCTATCACACAAAAGGCAATCCCGAAAAGTATATACAATATAAAGCTACATTAATGGGAGTAAGATATACCTACATTCAGGTCTCTCCTTTCCAGAGTGAACCAAAATTTAGTTCTTTGCATGCTTCCTGGCTTCAGTTTGCATTTACCCCAGCCAAGGAAAGTCACACGCTAGTCTTTCAGAGGAACAGCACCTATGGAGCTATTCAAAAGAGAACATAACCCCCTGCAGAGGGTTTCCAGCAAACCATGACCAGGGGACACATGACAGCTCTTACGTCCAAATCACTCCCAGGCAACACTTGTCCAAATCCTACCCACCGCAGAAAAAGCTGTTAGAGAGCTTGGCTCAGCTGTAGCTTCCCTCAGACTGAAACCCCTGGCTTGTAGTGAGGACAGGAGCCACCACCACACACTGAGGTGGAACAAAGCAGGCCTTAGATCTTGTTTCAGGACATAACCCACATCAGGGAGATTTTTTTTTACTCAGCTGAGAACAAAGCTTTCATGGCATATGGACAACTTCATACCTGTCAGAGTACTTGTGATGTTGATGGATATGAGCAGCCACTTCTCCTTCTACTCTCCCTAATGGATATCCAACTTTAAAGATGTTCCCTGTGCTAGAAAATAAGTTTCTGCACCCTTTAATTGGGCTGGAATTTATGGCCTACAGAAAAAAACAAAACAAAACAAAACAA